CAGCAGGCCAGGGCGTGAGCGAAGGAGGCGAGGGGGCGTTCCAGAGCAGAGTAAGCTTGCACAAACAGAGCCGGCCCTGACTTTTGCCCCGAGGAGCGCAGGAACCAGAGATGTTTTCATTCACTGCCAAAGTATGTTGGCACTGTCAGTTTCAAGAGAGAGGTTCAGACTGCAAGGTAGAGTGCACTGAACTATGCTAGTCTTTGCTCGTGTGTTAGTGCAGAAAAAATCACACACACACACTCACTCTCTCTTCCAGTTATACTCAATGACCGAGGACTCTGACCATGGTGTCAAGACTGCAGTGTCCTGTGATGCAAATCAGGCGGAGGAATCCGGTTCAGATAAGGGAATCCGGAAGTCTGTGGATGGGTGCGTGGGGAGTCCTGCTACTTATTTATATGGAAACTAACCCTCTGCACTACTAGGGGCGATACCTCAGTGGCAGAGCACCTGCTTTGCAGGCAGGAGGTCCTGGGCTTGCTTGCCAGCTTCTCCAGGTAGGGCAGGAAGAATGCCTGCTCGAAATCTTGGAGCGCTGCTGCGTATCAGTGTCAGCAGTTCTGGGCTAGATGGACTAAGACGCTGACTCAGCATAAGGCTGCCTCTTGTGTCCCTACTAAAAGTACATTTCATCTTTTTTCTCCTTATGAGGGACCCACAGTGGCTTACATGGTCTCCCTCTTCTCCATATCATCCTCACTACAACCCGGTGAGGTGGGGTAGGCTGAAAGCCAGTGCCTGGCCCAAAACCACCCAAAGGTCTGCACGGCCAAGAAAGGACTGGAGCCCAGATCCCCCGAGTCCCAACCCAACACCCTCACGACACCACCGCACTGCTCCTCTGTGGAGCCTGGAGAGAGATTTCAAGAGCAGGCGTAGGTGGAACCTCCGGGAACTTCCTGTTCCACCCCAAGCCAGGATCACCCTGACTTTCTCAGCTGTCAGCTGAGCCACGGGGCAGCATTTGCACTATGATACAGTCCCAGCGCCGTGGCTCCTTTGCTGACTCACACATTCTCCGAACAAGTAACCGCTTGCATTCTAACTACAGTTTGCTTGGGAAAGTCCAGCGTACAAAGAATGGGTGATTTCCCCGAGGAAAAGATGAGTGGGATGCAGAGAACTGGAGGCATTCATGCTTGGTGCAGGCGAATACCCACATCTTATATGCCCCAGCCTGACACTGAGCCCTCACACAAGCCAATTCCATCTGGCCCATGAGGTCTGAACTTTCTCAAGGGGCTGGAAGACTCTCCTGCTTCAGGTGGGTGAGATTCCAGTTCAGAAGGGCGCTCTCACTGCCTTGCACCCGCAGCCATTTTTGAGCAAATGCAAACTGGCCCTCACCATGCAACAGGCTCAGCAGAAGCTGGAGAAAGATTCCAGACATCAACAGCCATTTCTGCACAAGCCTCACTGGCCTCCTGAAGACTATGCAGTAAATCTGAGGGACATCCCTGTTTATTAGTAGTGCTAAAAAGCCCAGCAGGACTTCTTTAACAGTTTGCACCAGACGAAAATTCAGAGGACAGCTTGCCAACTGAGAAGGATGGCTTAACATGGGAGCCCCGCACTGAGAAGGGGGCTGGCCCCTTCCAACTCCATGAATCTGTTCCTTTCTGGCTCTTGGCAGTTCATTCACAAGAAGAAGAAGCCTCCAAAGTACACATGAACCTATACATGTCTGCCCACCTTGAGCTACTTTTAATGGAATAATTTCCTGAAGCTAGTCTGTCAAGAGTTCTTTGTCATCCAGTTAAACAGAACCCAAAAATCGGAGCAAAAGCAACCCATATCCTTGCTCTGCAATATAAACAAAACATTCTTCATGTCAGTACAGTTAAGACTAAGCAAACAAGTATTTAGCTCTGGCACTTGCTGAAATGTCAGTTCTCTTGCGCATTATAAACTCCACACCCTTGCGCTTCCCTGGCATTAATCCAGGCCTGGTTATATGCTTAACACAACACCCAAGCCACAAAAACAAGCAACTGGTGCAACCATGTGTGGGCAATTCAAGTGGGATGGGGGGTGGGGGCTGCTGCCTGGTCCAGAAGTCTGGAGAATGCTCATTTTGGCCATTGAACTCCAAAAATAAACTCTCCATGGAAGTAAATTAAAACATAGATATGTGTTCTGCTCCAATCACATTGTAGTTTGGGCATGTAAATTGCATTTGTAGCCCATCTCGTTACCTTTCTGTTTTTTTCAGCTGGAGGAGGTTTCTGTGTAGTTCATGCAACACACTGGAGGGTGGAAAGCAACGGCCACCTCACACGCTCCCTGCCCCCCAATGCCCTGGCCTCCCACTGCCTTCCAAGCTGTTTCAGAAAGTTTATGGGACCAAAGGAATTGACAACCGGATTCCATGGAGATCTGTCTTGATTCTCTGGGGACAATCAGCAATGATTACATTGTGATGAAATGGCAAGCTATGTTCTGCTGCTTTACTATGCCATCAAGCAGGAGGCGATAAGAATGATCAAAGGGACAGGAGGCCACACCAAATTAGTGCTGAAGACCCAACGAAGTATTCCATCCACGGCTGACTCCTGAAATGAAACGCTGGGAAGGAAGGAGGAGGCAGGGCACAGGCAGTCGAGCAGGAAGACAGCTGGCTTCAGTGCTGCTCTCCTCCTCTGAGACCAGAGAAGAAAGGACACGCCTCTGGAGCTGCAAGGGGAACTGGCTCCCAAGGCTGCAATTAAGCACCTGTTCAGTCATCACAATTAAGCTCATGGGCAGCTGCTGCACGCAGATCCAACATCTGATATCCAGCTATTTATTGGATGGGCTGCGTAAAGCAGCTACTGCTCTCCTGTGTGTTTTCTTGGCCTTCTGGCCTGTAAGGATGCACTTGCTCTCTCCCCCGTGCCCAAAAGCATATTCATTCATCCACCACACGAATACACCAGATGGAGAGATCTTTGGTCCCAGAAAGCTTATGTCACAATCTATTCGCAAAACATTAGGGTGCCACAGAGCCCTTTGCTGAATTTTTGCTACCCTGCGTGGTTCAGAAGTCTTATGTGCAGATCCATAAAAATGTGTACAATTTCAGTAAGGTCTGGTGATCCTACAGTTGCGCTCCACCCCTCAAACTGATTTCCCCCCTAAAACTAATGATTAAGATATTGGTGATAAATGTAGGAATACAGTTCTGCCTAGAAGAGCAGACCAGACTGGAGTTACTGCGGTGAGGTGAGGAAAATGGAGACAGAATTAACCGGAAGAGGGATCCCACTGCCCCGTCCCCAGCCACCCCTGCCAAGAGCCACCCCATTGCTTTGTGTAGTCTAGGCATGGTCTCCAACTGCAGAGGTCCCACAGGGCAGCTACAGCACTGTCACCCTCCAAACAGCCCCTTTTTATGCCTCAGTCACATACCCCCATGCGCCAGCCTCTGCTGTGTGGTACGGTTTCATTTTCCACTCAGTTGCTCTTCTTTCCACCGAATCCATTGCTTACCCAAATCTCTTCCCACTGCCTCTGGGAGAGCTCTCCACACTGAGCATGGCCACCACTGCCAACCATCTCCTTGCTACATTTCCACTGCATTGTGTCGCAGCATCCTCTGCCCCCAAATGAACAAGCACATCCCATCAATGCTTCTTTAAGTCAGTCTTCTCCTACAGGGCAGAGATGCCCTTAAGACAAGACCAGCAACCCTCAGACTTCTTCCTTTCCTGCTCAGGTGATGGGGCTCCCATAGGCACCCATTTCCCAAGAAAGAAGGGCAAAGGGCGACCTGCCTCCCCTCCAATTCAAGTAAATCAGACCCTCATGTCTGTTATTTGTTCAAGGAAAACCCTAATCATGCCAGGCCAAACTGGTCTGACTCTCAGGTAGCTTTAAAAGGGGATCCAGGAGCCAGTCCTGAGAGAGAGATGAGGGAGGAGCCAAGCCATTTCACCAGCCCTGCTGAAGATCCCATGAAGGAGAAAAGGCCCATTGTACCCACCAGCCAGAGGCCACCCCCTTGAAGTCTTCCTCTCTCTCTCTCATTCTGGTAGGCAGCAGATGAGAATAGGAAGCAGAGGCACACCACCAGTCCCGCTGAAACACATTTCCCATTCTTACCTCCCCATTCAGCTTTCTTTCAGTGGCATGTCTTTCTAGATTTTAGGACTGCAGACAAAAATCTTACTAATTTGGTGTAAGCCACCCCTGAAGCAGGGAAATATAAATCCTTCAAAAAGATAAATAAAATTTGGACACAAAGGCCCTTTCTTTGCAATAGCTACCCTTTTCTAGCCCTCCCTCCAATCCACAAACGTCTCCAGGGGTCCCTTCTCAGAGGTGTGGCCCATCTCCTTCACCACGGGGACAATCTGCCAGGCCCTGTCAGTGCCCATCGCAACCTCCATTCCCTACTTCATTCGAACACTGGGGCGAAGGAGGGGGAGGAGAAGAGGGCTTCCCACATACATCGAAGGCAAGGCGCTTGCTTCCCAATGCCCTTCTAATGTCCTCATCAGCACCGCCCCCTCACTCTGCCCCCGTTCGAGTGCAGGGCCAGTGTGTGTGTCATGGCCAGTACCAGCAGCATTCGTAGGGCACGGGAGCCCCTGGGCAGAAGCAGTGGGCTGGGCTGAAGTGCTGCAGGGTTCCCACAAAACATATTCCTGTTACTACGCCACAATTGTGTTCCGCCTTTCCCCCTCTTGTAAGGGACTCGAGGTAGGTACAGGGTGCCACTTCATCCTCGCAACAACAACCCTGCGAGGCAGGGCAGGCGAGACTGCCTGGACAATGGGAGACTGTACGGGCTCCTCGTGCGCGGCGCCGGGGGCGCGCGTCGTATCCGCCATGCCCGAGGAGTCGCTGGGGCCTGGCGGGACCAAGGGTTCAAGCCCCTCCCGGGAGCCTGGCCTCACCTCCGCCCAGCCGCGGGAGCCTGGCCGCGCTCGAGCGCCCGACGGCCCGCCGCCCTCCGAGAGCGGCCACCCCGCCTCCCCTCGGCGCCCCGGCCCGCCGCCCGGCCTCGGCTTTCCTACCGGCCTCTCCCCGCAGGGCGCCGGCTGGGCTCGGCTGGGCTCGGCTCGGGTCGCTCGGCGGCGCTGCACAGGAAGTGCTTCCCGCCGGACGCCGGAAGGGGCCGTCGCAGGAGTCCGCGCTCGCGCCGCCCCCGGAAACCGGGGCCCTCGCGCCGGTTCCGGCGAGACGCGCTGCCCCGCGGCCCGCCCGGCTCCGGAGGGACGCTGCGGGCCCGCCCTCGGGGGGCCGGGGCTCGCTCGCGTCTTTGGGCCAGCCGCCCGACTGGGCCCGGCCGCCGCCCCTCCCGGCCTGGCACCCCGCGGGCGCGGCTGGCCATCACGGCCCAGCCCGGGCGGCGAGCTGCAGGCGGGGAGAGGCTGCCCGGAGAAGCCGCCCCTGGGCTCGCCTTGCTCCCGCGCTCGTCCGGCCCCCTGCCTTGGATCTTTGAGTGTAAGCTCCTCGGGGCAGGGACTTGGCCTTCTCCATCTTGGCTTCTCCGTGAGGCATCATGCACGTGGTTATAGAAACCGGTCATCTTGCCATATGTATCACGCACAAGGTGATTAATAAAGCATGATAAAAATACCAGTACTCCAATAACTTGCTATCAGTCTTAGTTCCGTGGAGAACAATCCAAAACAGCTCAATCCATTTCGATTCCATTCACAATATACCTACCGAAGCAACTTCAAAACCAAAACAATTTGTTACGAGCAGAGTGGAAACAGAACGGGCCCTTTTGAAGAGCTGCAGGAAAAGATAATCCCTTCTGTCTTAGGTGATACCAGGACAGGGTGAATGCCTTTGGCTTAGGTGAAAAATAACAGCCAACAAAGCTCTGTTTTGACTATGGTGGCTGTAATTAAGCAGTTTTTTAAAGTGAAAAACCACATCTGGGGTTGCTTTGCTACATCCCCTGAAAGGGAGCATCCAAGTCAGCAAAGGTGGTGGCTTGTTTGCAAATACTTATTAACAAATGTTTCATCTAGACGATGCCAGGAAATTTGGACACCAGGTTCTTACTACATCTTTCTAGCCCCCATGCGTTTTAATTTATCATCATTCTACTACCACTAAAATACTTTTGCATTCCTGAACCATAAAGATACAGCTTACCTAGTTAGTAGGCTGCACAAATTATTGTAAAAACCATAACAGGACAGTAACAGATAATGACATTCCAGTCGAACAATATTACATTGTGCCATTGTAGCTGAGAGCAAAAACCCAACACCAAGCTGTGTAATACTAAGATGACACTGTCTTGTTTTGTGATGCCATATAATACGAGTATTTTAGGAGATCTTAACATGCCACAAGGAAATGTGGATTAGAAGCAGAGGAAGGAATGACAATTGATAGACAGGCAGATGAGACCAGCTTAGTGGCCCAAAGCAGCAATGAATTGACATGATCCTGATGAAAACTAAAGGAGAAAGTGCAAAGGCAGGCCTGCAGCGGGACACTGAGAAAACAAAAATCACGACTAGGGAAGAATCACGCAACTTGATTATCAACCATGAAGAAATTGAAATTGTGAAAGAAGCTGCGTGCCATGGCTCACTCAGCAATTCCAATGGGAACTAGAGCCAAGAAATTAGAAGGAGACTGAGACCAGGAAGAGCAGCAATGAAGGAACTATTAAAGATCATGCAGTGTGAAGAGGAGAGCAAGGCCAAGATCATTCACACTATTGAATTCCCAGTCACTATGAATGGGTGTGAAAGTAGGACAGTGAAGAAGCAGAGAGGAAGAAGATCGATGCATTTGAAACATGGTGCTGGAGGAAAACTTTGGGAATAGCCTGCATTGACCGAAAAGTGAGCAAGGGGGTCCTGGATCAAATCAAGCCAGAGCTTTTTTCCCTGGAAGCCAAAATGACAAAACTGAGGCTGTCATACTTTGGACATATCACAAGAAGGCTGGGCTCCCTGGAGAAGGCCATCATGCTAGGGAAAGTTAAAGGCAGAAGAGGAGGAGGAAGACCAAATATGAGAAGGACTGACTCCATAAAAGAAGCCACAACCTTGAATTTACAAGAGCTGAGCAGAGTTGTCAAGAACTGGAGATCTGGGGCGGCATTTGTTCAGAGTCCTCCTAGGCTGGACACCACTGAATGGCACACAACAACAACTTTTCATTTTGGCATATAATTATTACAAATGCCATTCAGGAAGAATAACATAAGCTGAAGGGATCTTGCTTGGATATTGTTCTTTTTGTTGCTGCGTTCGTAATCGATTTGTTTCTTGAAATGTTTCAATTGAGATACTGTTCTCAATTTATTGTTAATCTGCTGGCAGTTTTTTTAGGACTTGCGCTTATCACACCCTTCTTTCAATATTGCACTCAAGGCAACTGTGATTAGACAATGGGGACAGCTGCAAATTGATCCAGGCACGCATCTGGAAGAACACACTTTCTACCCAAGTGTAGTTCTGGGTAAATATGAGATGGATGGATTCCATCAAGGAAGCCACAGAGTAAATCCGGATCTGGTTCATTGGCATGGTCATCACAGATCGGGGCATTTGTGTATCGCCTCCGCTGTTGCCAACTCTTCTCTAGGTCCCAGGTCTTTCACATCACCGGCCCCAATTCCATTAAAGGAAGCAGGTGTAGTGTACTGGTTACTTGGGAGAATCTGGGTTCGGGTCTCCCACTTGCACCCAAAGCTCACCTGCTGTGAGCCAGCCACTGATTCTCAGCCTCGCCTACCTCACAGCATTGTTGTGAGAATAAAAAATCAGAGAAGTGGAAGATGATGGGCTCCTTGCAAGAGGAAACAAAGGCAAGACAAATGCAATCACGAATACGATAAAAAAAGCTGAAGTTGTTGACAAGAAAACTGATTTTCTGCAGATGACATGTATAACCAAGATGCAGTGAGGGCCAATCAAGAACAAATTGTTTCGATGTAATTGTGCCTGTTAACGCATGAAAAAAAGATTATGTTGGTTGGTATGCTATCTTTTAGAGGTTCTGCGCCTAACAGCTAGAATTAGCTTATGTCACTGCTTGAGTGATCAGGGGAAAAGTTAGAGGGCTTCTATCAGATTCTATCAGTCCCTGCTTCTGACCCTAACACGCACCAAATTTAGCCGAATCACGGCCCCATAATTCAAGCACTGCTCACTGGGGCTGCTTGGAAGACGGAAGGCGCTCTGTACATGCTTAGCAGCAGTCCCTGTTTTGAATAGTACCTGGCCCCCTGGCCTTGGAAATGGGGGGAGGCCAAGCCCCGGTTGGCTTGGCCCCAGGGAGCCTGTCCCTGGGCGAGAGGCCTGGCCACGGCCGTGCTCCGAAGGGGCAGGGCAGGACTCACCCACTCAGCCTGCGGCGGCCCCCCTTCCTCCTTCTCCTCTGCGTCGGGCTCCCTTTGCTCATCCTCCGAGCCCCCGCTGTCCGCCGGCGAGGGGGCCCTGGGGTCGCGCCACTGGGGGCCCGCCGCCGTCCCCACGGGGTGGAGTGGGCCGGGGGGCGGCGGGCAGCATGCGGGACACAGATCCCCTTCCGCCGCCCCGGGGAAGGGCGCCTCGCACTGCAGGCACCGCTTGGACTTCCGGCTGTGCTTGAGAGGCTTGTCCGCCATGGCGGTGGGCTGGCAGCCGGGAGGCCTCTGGGGGCCCACAGTGCCTGGGACGCTGGGTGCCCAGGGCTGGGGAGGGGGCACCAGGTGACCTGGCAGTGCCTGGGCAGTGCCCTCTGCCTGGGGCCGCACTCCCGCCAGGGCCCACCAGGGGGCGACAGACACAGCCCTGGAGGGGCGGCCCACTCTGCAGCTCCCCCTGCTGGGGAGGAGGCCTCTGCCCAGCCTGCAGGCCCTCTGCCAGGAGAGTGCCAGGGAAGCGGGGGTTCAGTGGGGCCCTTTGCACGAGCTGGAGGAGGCACGAGCGGTGGCCCGGTTCAAGGTGCTTGCCTGGACATATTAAGCCCCAAACGGCTCAGGCCCCCGCTACCTAAAGGAACGCCTGCACCCACCTGGCCTCCAAGATCAACGCACGTGGCTGTCACGGTGGAAGCAAGAGGGGTGGCCGCTAGGAGGGCCGTTCCTGCAGCTGCCCCCCACATCTGGAACGCTCTCCCCACGGAGTCTCCCGGCACCTCCTTTCTACTCTGTCTGGTGCCAGGTGAGGACCTACCTCTTCCAAAGACATTTTAATATTATTAGTCACTACCTAACCCTTCAGTTGTGTTCATTTAATGTAACTTTATTAGGTTTTATATTCATATTAATTTATGCCTTTGTTTTATAATGTATTTTAATTGTCTGACGTTAGCTGCCTAGAAGTCATGAGCGAAAAGTGGCATATAAATGTTTTAAATAAACAAATGAGGTCCAGGGTTCTGTCTCTGGTGTCTTTGATTAAAATAGTCAAAGGCTGCAGGGTTAGGAATAAATCCTGAGCAAAATTCTGGAGAGCCGGTGTTCCCTGACGGTATTCGCAGAGATGGACTAACAGGCAGTGACACTAAGGAATCCGCAATTATTTTGTTGTTTAGGAACTGGTTGTGAAAATAACAGCCTATTAAAAAACTTGCTGCGAGATGATAGGATGCCTTTTCTGTAGGGTTCGGCTTCCTTCTTCTAGGAAAAGCTCCAAGACGGGGCTAAGGTTGTACGAATTTATACGAACTATAGCAAACAAAGGCTGACTCATTCGAAACGTCAGTCTTGCTGGGAGTGATCAGCAGAAAGAGGAGAAGTGGCTGCCCCAGCACCCGTTGGCTGGACACCATAGAGAGAGACACTGGCCATCTTGAAGAAAGCAGAGTGAGACAGAGAGGCACGGAGAGCAATGATGCACCGAGTCACCAGGGGTCGGACATGACGGAATGGTTGCCGATGACTCTATGAGACCTCACAACCCGGTCGCTTTACTGACTGACCTACCATAAGAGCCATGGAAAGTCTAACGTAGGATATTTGTGTCTTGTTAGAATGCCCTTCATGCTGTCCTTGGCTTTTCAGTCCACGGAGAGCAAATGATTTATTATTTTTATTACATTTCTGTATCGCCGGTACACAAAGCTCTCTGGGTGATTCACGACGTCCAAGTCACCCATCTGGATTTCAACCAGGCCTGACCCTGACCCAAGATTAGGCAGGATCAGGTGCTTCAGGCTACACGAAAGCTACACAGAATCTGGCTTTTGGCCATCTGCAATGGTTGCTTTGGTCAGTGGTCTTTGGAATAGGAAGACAGAGAGACACACACACACAGAGCGCGAGCGAGCGCACCTCATTTTCCACGTGCAGCATGGATCGTGCAGCAGGGAACTGGCAGGGGCCCCTTCCGCCAGCTCACTCTCCAGCATTCCCCAACACACACGACCACAGCCTGATCAAGCTCCACCCGCCATCAGGTACGCTCCAGATGCCTGGACTGCAATTGCTATTATTTCTAGCAAGCCATCCAGTAGAAGCTTTGAATTTCAGGATCATTCTTAAGGGGCAGCCAATTTTGGGGGGTGGGACGGCAATGTCAATCTGTTGCAACAGGAGTTTATTGGCCCACCATAAGGACTATGCGTCTGTTCTAGCATGAGCTTCTGCAGAGCAGGGTGCAACTCTTGGTACCATCTCATGCAATTTAGGAACTGAAGGCCTTTTCTGTCTAAGCCTGCACCAGACTAGCCTTTCGTGGGTCTGATGAAGAGGGGGCTCCTCCATGGATGCTTACAAAAATATCAAATTTGTGCTTTTGTTGTTGATATTACATCTGCATTTTTGTTTGTAGCATAAGCAGCCTTGGGAATATTCTGCCAAAAGGGGAACAAAAAGGTCCTTAAGCAAGCAAACCGACTGATAACCAGGTGGTCCCACACAAACCACACATTAATGATCCATCAGCAACAGGGCACCTGGAAGGTCCCTGGTTCACAGCTCATGCAAATCAAGTGCATCACCTTTCCAGGTGACCTCTGTTAAACCTCAGCCTCTTTGGCCCATTGGAAGATAATAATTCTGGCCTATGATACCCTAGGCTGGCACTTGATCGGACTTAACGGGCCTGGCCTAGCCCTCGCAGCTTTTCATGGTGATCATGCACCAGACGGGCACAACGCGCATCCTGCACATGAGTGGCAGGAGTCTTTAGCCACAACAGTATCTGACGATAAGCAAATGCAAGCTGCTGCTGTGTGCAGGCCAAGCCACGGTTGCCATTACCAGTCAAGCAGACCAAGCTACTTCACCGGGGTGCTGCAGGGCCTGCAGAGATTGGACCCTGAGCTCTTGGAACACACCGAAAGCACAAGGTAAATGTCAAGGCAGGCTGCACTATTTGATCGATCAGGTAGGCAAATAAATTATACAAACTTCTGATCAGCTTCAAAAAGTCCTCTGACTTGACTCCCAGTTTGTCTCCCTTCTAAGGGCGCTCGTTGCAACACATGCTAAAAGGAAGTATGAATCTTGCTGCAGAATTTTTGTTTTAGCCATAGGCAAACTGTATGACTCCACTAGGATTCCTTTATTCAGGCAACAATAATAATTCTAAGTATGATGGCTATACAAAACCATTTCCCCCAGTAGATTTATTAAGCTAAGGAGCTGAGGGATGAGGCAGGAAGGACGGAAGAAGATCTAATGAATCTTATCTGGGAAAACACAGTGTCACCCTTGCAGTCGTCCTCACATTTTTAATTTGGAGAAGGAGACAGAATACAGAAGGCAAACAGAATGAGAAAAAAATGAATTTGCCAGACTGGATTAGGTGTTCATCTCCTCTGTGAGTAAAACACCACGCAGTTGGCATTAAGACTTCAATATCCTCATTCAAGTGGATTGATACTCAGCATATGAGTTGTGCTTCTGCAAGCCCCACACTGGATCTGTCACCAGAATGGATGGTAAATGATAAAAACAGATCGATCCTATTTTATGCACTATTACATGGAAAAATACCATGAATTTGGTAGGATGCTCTTCTGTGCAAGCAGCAACAAAAGAACAGGAGCTGGGCAAGAACACGGGCCCATCCAGTCAGCGCGACTTGTGCAGAAAGCTCCGTCTGTATACAAAGGCAGTTCCAGGGGGAGTTTGTGATAGCTTCTAAGCACCATGTAGAAAATGCATTTGCTAAAGTGAGTATCTTGAAAAACTACACGTAGAATATCAGTTCCTCACTATCTCAGAAACGACGACCATTCTCCTTGGAGCTTCCAATCATCTTCAGTAGAAGAAGGAGCCGAAAGCAACTGCCACGCAGAAGAGGCTGTCCTGGGGAACGGAGGAGAGAATGCAGGGATCAGCGAAAATGTCTTCAGGGGAACGAAGCCACACACTTTTGTGCCTGGGGCAGTACAAAGCAACATGGGGATTTTGAATGTAATCTTTCTGTTAACATGTGTTTTCCTACAGGCTGCAGTACCTGATCCTTGGAAGCTACGGATTGGGCCAGGCTGAAATCTGGGTAGGTGACTGAAATGTTGTCAATTGTCCAGAGAGCTTCGTATAGGGTGGTACAGAAATGCAATTCAGTAACAACAAAAGCTTTTAGATTCCTGAGAAGGTGAGCTTGAAATGAGCTTTGCCTGGGGAGATCTGTATAGCCTGTTAGCAAAAGGGGGAAGTTCTGGTCCTTAGGACATGGGTTCTCAGAGAAACACCTGCTCCTGTTTTACCTTGCCCACATGTTGAGGTCACCTCCCTACAACTTCTGTGCAGTTTGGACAATGCTGCACTTCACTTAACTGCCCAGAAGAGAAATCTGCATAATGCTGCCCAATTTGGCCTTGGTACCTGGTACACCACCGAAAGCTAATATTGCTACTCTAAGAACTTCTTAGCTTGACAAAAGTGCTTTGATTAGGACTGGAGAAAGACTTCAACAACTACGAGATTTTTCATACATGTTTTGTTCAAATGGAGGCACAGATGCAGTACAGCTTTTGTGCCCTGGTACATCCTGCGCCGCGTCTTCCAGCCAGCAGGGCAAGTCCAGTTACACCTGCAAAGGGGCCCAGTGAGCACCTTCTCTGAGCAGCCGTCTGTGGATGACACTCGACAACGGTGGCAAAGCACTTACATTCATGAAAACATCCTGAGCGTAGTTGTCCGTGTCGGCATCCCAGAAGCACCGGGCGGCCATGCTGAAAACACAAACGGGGCGGATCCATCAACAAGGATGGGGGCAGTGACTAACATGTGGACGGTGCTCGTTCTACCTAAAAAGCTGGCGTGCCTCTCCAGAAGTGCCCTGTGAGCCAGGATTGGTAGAAGGGGGACTTCTATGTCTGCAAAGTCAGGGAAAATGCACCCAAACTCTGGGAAACAGCTACACGCTGGAGAAAATCAGAATGCTAATTTATTTATTTATTTAAAACATTTCTATGCTGCCCCCATCGCAACAAAGCCTCGGGGCGGCTCACAACATACATAAAAATACAATCAATAATTTAAAAACTGGTACCATCTCGGCTATATATTAAAATCTATAAATACAATAATAAGAAATTAACAGTTAAAATAACTTTTAAATAAAAAGGTCTTCGCTTGGCGCTGAAGAGCAAATAATGACAGCGCCAGGCGGACCTCTCTGGGGATTTTATCTGGTTATTAAAAATAATGCGGATCTGCATGGGTTTGCTGCAGACAAAACAAGATACGGGAGTGCTAGCTGCATCAAACATCCCAGTGTGGTGTGGTGGTGAAGGGTCTGGGTCTGGGAGTCAGGCGGACAGATCCCTGCTCAGCCATGGAAACATCTGGGTGATTGTGGGCCAGCCACAGACTCTCAGCTCAGCCTACCTCACAGGGCTGTTGTTGCTGGGCAGATCAGATTGAGAGCAGGAGGTGAATTATGTAAGCTGCTTTGAATTCTTTGTAAGAAAAAAAGCAGGCTGTATATCTAATCAATCAGTCTTATTGCTCCCAAGCTGCCTGATTTTGTCTGGATGTTTAGACATGGGATGAGAAATAGAATAGGTAACTGTTTAAAGTTTCTAAAAGAAATGTGGTAATTTGCTATTTGTAGAATGTTTGGGATAAAAGCAAAGCAATCTTTAGTTCTGCAAATTTAACAGAAATATACATAATGATGCAAAAGTATTTAACATATAGACAATTCCATAAAGAGGAAAAAGCCACACTTACTTCACTCCCTCGCCTCTCTGTTCTCCGATCACCACCTGCACAACTATTTTATACCTGTGAAATCCTTTCTCTAAAAGGGAAGTGGTGAAGAAGGATAGCTGATGAGAAGGCATGGATACATTTTACACACCTGTAGCACAAGTGACAACAAGAGAGAGGGCCTTTACAACAGTGCCCCCCCTCCAAATTCTGGAATGTTCTCCCCACTAGAACCTGGTTCGGATTCTGTAGTCTGTTGTCTTTTTGGCATCAGATTACAACTGCCCTCTTCCCCCCAGGCATTTAACAGCACGACAAGACTTTTATGTCAGCTGGTTTTAACAGGTCTAGTTTAGCCTTATTCTTCTAGCTCTGTCCAGGGAGTGTTATGGCTAATGGGGCAAGCTAAAAATCAATCAATCAATCATCTACTGAAAAATGCAGTATTTTATAGCATGTACGGTATGTGTTTCTGTGCATTGTTCTGAACTGCCTGGCTTGCTTTGGCTATTGGGCACTACAGAAATGAAATTACACAAATTATTACAACAGAAGTTCTGCCAACATCAGAACCACAGTGGTATGTGTGTGTGGACAGAAGGCCGAGAGGGAGGAATGTAGGTGGAAGAACTGCCCTTTCCGTCATACACCTTACTACCTTTCAGTCTGTCTCGGATTGTTTCTGACAAAGATTTGGTGAGTTGGGGGACTTCTTCCGGGTCGTACTGTACATTTTCCAGTTCCTCCTTTAACACCTCATGGATGCAGTCTTTCACTGTAGAAGAGCGGAATCTTAGGAAAGAGAAGGGAACAGAATTACCTTGAGTCCTATTTTCCCCTCCCTCAGTGCATCAAGGGTGTGAGACATCTGACTGGTAAGCCAAATAATGGATAGAATTCTCAAACAGGTCTCAACCTCCGCCATGTTTGGGAGGCGATACACTCCACCCACCCCTCAAGAAGCATGTGGCGTGTGCCTCCACGAACTGTGCCACTGTGCCTTGTGAGTGGGAGACAATTAGACTGCTTTGCTATACAACGCTCTGCATACAGAAAACCAGACTGCCTCGGGGGATGTCTGCACGGTGCAGAAGTTGCTCTGGAAAAGAGGCTGCCCTGGAGCCACCTGTGCGCCACTCTCGGGCTGATGGGAGAACTGCAGCTGGTTTTCAGCCCGCTGAGCAGTCACGCTTGGCAGGCATGTGGGAAAAGCGCTGCACTGAGGTGGAGGGGACTATCAAGGGAGATGCTGCAACACCCTGCGTCGTGCACTAGGACTGAACGGGGGTGAAGAGGTTATCAAAATATATTTGCAAATCACTGTGGGCATGCCAAAGTGGTTTTTAAGTCCCAGAAGCAGATTGGGAGAGTTGCTCTCTTTCACTTGAAAACTGGAGGACTTGGCCCATTTATTCCATCAAGTGACTTAATTAGGACTGGGCTGCACCCGAGGTGTTCATTGATCGGTGGCACCTTGCGAATTTCCATAATGGCTTGTGGGAAGAGGTGAAGGGTGACGCACCCCAGACCCAGCTGGGGGCTTTGTGCAAGTGAGGCGTTTCACAGCAGTCTCCCCCATCCTGGCGCCCTTCGCTACAAGTCCCATCACCGTTAGCCGAGCAACCACGGATGCATTGGACTGCACTGCCCGTTATCCCCAGATGCACCTAGCCCGGCACAGGCCATCACTGGACTACAACTCCCATCATTCCAAGCCTTCCTCATCGTGGCTATCCCATAAGCGTTGGCTTACAACTCCCTTCACCTTTAACCTGGCAGGAGCACTTGCTAAGAACTACAATCCCAGCCTCCCCAACCTAATGCTCCCGGCTGGGCGGGACGACAGCGCCCATCATGCTGCAGCTTTCTCCAACCTGGCGCCCCCGGACTGTGTTTGGGGTACAGCTCCCATCACCCCAGTCCCCTCAAGTCCACTGGGCTACAGCTCTTCATCCTGCCCCATATGTGCTGGGCGGCAGCACCTAGCCGAGGATGATAGGAGCTGCAGTCCCCCCAGATCCGTGTCCGCGGGCACCAGGTTGGGGCCGGCGGCAGAGCCACTGACTTGTGCTGGAAGGGCGGCCGGAGGCTGTAGGTGCGCGACGGGCTGCCCGGGCGGGGCGCGCGGCCCGCAGCGATGCGGGCGGGCGACAGCTGCAGCTCCGCCATGGCCGCTCGGCGGCGCTTCCGAGGGGCCCAGCAGCGTCACCATGGCGACTCTCGCTTCCGCTCCCCCGTCGTGGCGCCCCGCCTAGGAAGGCCCTACTTCCGGAACCGCAGGAAGCCGCTCTTGGCCAACGCTCTGCATTGCCGCAGAGCGGCGTCGCTCTGAGGAATCGCACCTCTATGGTCACAGCTCCTCATGGAAACGAGTGGAGTCGCCGCTCCTGTCTGAGGCCGCGAGAGCTCTGCCCCCTCACCCCACACTCAGTTTCTGGTGGAGCGAGGCTTGTCCTAATGCTGAAGCAAGGGGAAAATCCGCTTAGAAATCTACGAGGCCTCGGGGGGGTCGAATGGCTTTTCATGTTTCCTCCTGCCAGCCCCTCTACCCTTTTTACTATCTCTACGTTTCACAGGGGGAGGGGGCCATCGCGGGAACCAGAGGAGAACGAGAGCGAGGCGGGAGCGCCGGAAGTCGCGTCCCGGGACTTCCGGTGCCGCCGCCGGCTTCCCGGGCTTGTTCCGGCGCCGCCTGGGCCCCCTCAGAGCCCGGTGGCCGGGGACGGTGGGAGGAGCAGTCCAGCCCGGGGGCCCCTGCTGGGGATGATGGTGGTCCAGCCCTCTGGGGGCCGGGAAGGCGGCAGGCGGGCCTCAGGCGCCCGAGAGCCGCTACGGGGGCGGCGCGGGGGAAGCGCTGCCCGGCCCCGGCCGGCTCGGGGTGCTCTGCGCGCCTGGAGCGGCCCACCGGGCAGGCCGCACGGGAGAGCGCCGGGGCCGCGCTGCAGCCGCCCCGGGTCGGCCTAGGCCCGGCCGCTGCTCACCGGCGGCCAGGGAGCTGCCCGTGGGACGCCCACAGGCCACGCGCGGATGCAGCGGTGCTCCCCTGCCCATGTTCCCCAGGAGCCCGCCCGCCCGCCTTTCCGTGCAGAGGCGGCACAGCCGCCCAGACCGGTCACCGCGGCAGCCTCCTCCCGCAGGAGTGTGTCCGTCCCCCTTTGAAAGCCGTGTGACGTGGCGGCCATCGCGGCATTTTGCAAAAGCGAATTGCATAACTGATAGCTTGAGTGGCACAGAGCCCCGTTTCTGTTCCAGAGAACAGATGAGCCCAGGAGCCGGGTCCACCTCTGTGTCCGCTGGCAACCCTCCAGCATCAAGGGAGCGGTGAGGATGGACCGAGCCACAGCACAGCACAGAACACCGTGCCCTCCATACCAACGTTGCCTAAACAACATGCTTGTTCAGGGTGTGGCCCTTAACCACTGTCACATCCTGGCAATTTGGAGATTGGATGAACATGGAGCATGTGACCAAAGGTCTCTTGTTCGCTGTTAATTGAATAGGAGCAAAGGGCTTACTTTTTTTTTTAAATAAAACAACCTAACTGATAACTAAAAAAAAAAATTATCACAACACAAAAAAAATTGTGCGCCCCAGGAGAGCCAGTGTGGTGTAGTGGTTAAGAGCGTGGGACTGGGACTCAGGCGATCTGGGTTCGAGTCCCCGCTCAGCCATGGAGCCAACTGGGTGACTTTGGGCCAGTCACAGACTCTCAGCCCAACCTACCTCACAGGGTTGTTGTTGTGGGGATAAGATGGAGGAGGAGAGATGATGTAAGCTGCCTTGAGCCCTTTGAGGAAAAAGGCAGGATATAAATAGAAAAAAATAAATAAAAATAAATATTTCCATTTCCCTGCATACAATATAACAACAATATAAAATTTACTGTAGTCATACCTATATCCCCTCCAAAAATTCATATATGCTTGATTAGGCTTACAGCTTTTCCCTTCCATCAGTACTGCTTTTACGAAATCTTCCCTATTTCATTATATTTACTTTTATTATCCCCTTTTAAATCTTTATTTCTGATGTCAATTTATCATTAACAATCATATTCCATATTTCATTATACTATTCATTCCTTTGTATAACCCAGTTCTGTTTCCAATACCATTACTAACCTAGCTGCCATGATCAGATTTAAGATCAATTCTTTCTTCTTTATATCTTGTTTTTCAATCAGCAGCAATAACACAATTCTTGGTGACATTTCTAGATTTATATCTTAGAATTTCTCTAATTTCATTAAACACCATAATCCATATCTTTTGCATATTATCACAATCCCACACATGTGTTTATAAATTCCAATCTCTTTTCCACATCTCCAACAAACCTTAGAATATTTATCATCAATTTGGTTTAACTTGACTGGTGTTAAATACCATCTCCATGGTTAAATACCATATCCATGTTCTTTAATTCTAACAGGGCTTGCTTCTTTGTCAGAGGTAACACTTAGGCTGATGGTTGTCAACAGCCTTAACCCTTAATTTTCCTAAGCCTATTGGGGTCCTCCCAGCTGGGAATGATAGGTGTTGTACTTTAATGTACCTGGGAATGCAAGGTAATGAATATATGCGAAATCTAAGCCAGTAGCCATCCCTCAGAATGCAACAGCAAATACTATAAGCTATTCTTGTAAGGTGGAGTACTTTCTTTTGCATGCCCTGAACCTATTGGCTATCAAGTTATTATTATTATTATAACATTTCTATGCCGCCCCTTGCCGAAACCTCGGGGCGGCTTACAACATGATAAAATACATTGAAATACAATAGTAGTAAGTTGCAGTGGTGACCCCGAGTTCTAGTATAATAGGAGAAAAGTAGTTCTCTATCCACATCTTGCCATTTGTGATGTTTAACCTTGTATCCTCTTCAGGTTGCTGCAACACTTGGCACCCTTTCCTCTGATTTAAAATTCCCCTAACGGCTTCACCCGCCTTGCCTCAAGGGGAGGGAAGATGGGTCACTTTAATGGGCCTTTCCCTCCTCAGGTGTTTTTCCAGTGAGTTGATGGTATAGTCATTTATTTGAACATTGATTATAAATGTATGTGATCCCAGTATGTTTCATGGCTTACTGTTTTTAGTTTCAGTCCAGTTATGACCTCTCCCTCACATTTTCGCTTTAGTAGGACGCCACATAGGCATTCTGTTTTCCAGAATGATGATGCTGTCTCTGTTCCGAGAAGCTAGGCATGTTGCGACAGTGGAAGTTTAAAACCAGATGGAAATCCTAAACTAAAGGCATGCCTGGTTGCCCCTTCATCTCATGTTATAGCTACAATAATAAAAATAGACCTTTATGGCTATGAAGTGAATTGGCTGCAGATGCAGCTACTTTAGGGTCAGTGAAATAGTATAAGCCTGTGGCAGTTAAGTATTATCTCCGGTATTGGAGGCAGCATGTCTCTACCATTTTCTGGACTATGTAAGCCACTTATGATGAATCACCATAAAAGAGGCAATGTACAACCCAAAAAAGAGGGCACGAGTTTGCATATGCTAAATCATACGTGTAGGTGCACATTTAGGTTAGACTACTATAACGCACTCTACATGGGGCTGCCCTTGAGGATGGTCCGGATACCTTCAGTTGGTTCAGAATAGAGCTACCAAGTTGTTAACAGGGACTGGCAGGTATGAACACGTAATGCCAGTCCTTTGCCACCTACAGTGGCTACCAGTTGAAGTCCGGGCCCAATTTAAGGTCCTGGTGATGACCTACAAAGCCCTAAACAGCTTTAGGACCTGGTTACCTTCCATATGTGCCTGCCTGCTCCTTAAGATCTGGGGCAGAGGCCCTTCTCCGGGAGCCCTCCTTGAAGGAGATTGGGAGGGTGACTACCCAGAGAAGGGCCTTTTCTGCAGTGGCACCCTGATTGCAGAACATGCTCCCCGGAGAGGTTCTCCTGGCACTGGCACTTTATTCTTTTTGGTGCAAGGCTAAAAGCTTTTTATTTTTCCAATATTTTAAGGTTTGTTATTTTAATAAGGGTTTTATTGTCAGAAGTTGATTAGGATGCTGTGTTTATTTTATTTTTTGTCTTACTGTTAACTGTCCCGAGACGATGGTAAGGGACAGTCTAAGCAACTACTTCTTCCTTCTCTTTCTCCTCCTATATTTTTATTTTATACTGATAATTTTAATTTTGTATTTGTAAATCAATGTATTTTTTGTATTTTTATATTTAATGGTAATTTATTATGTACTATTGTATTTCAATGTATTTTATCATGTTGTAAGCCGCCCCGAGGTTTCGGCAAGGGGCGGCATAGAAATGTTATAATAATAATAATAATAATAATAATACTAATAATAATAAGTTTTAAATAAACAAAAATAATTAAATACATAGATTGAATTGCTATAGTTTAAATGGAAATAGTGCATCTCATTTGAGCAGACAATCACGCTGGGGGAAGGCGCGGGTAGGAGGAGGACAGGAAGATCAAATTCAAGGTGGAGCGCTTCTGAGAGGAAGGCTCAGCCTTGCGTTCACGAGCGCTGGGCAGGGCTGGCAGGAAAGGCAATTTGGAGGGCATTCGGTTCATTGGTGCTGGAGATGACTTGACTTCATGGATCAGCAGCAAATACTTCAGTATCGAGTGAAAAGTTGTGACCGGGGGGCTCGGGCACCATGCTCTGTTGGCCATTTAGTGCTGCTGAGGGTTTTTGGTGTTGCTTTGATGGGCTTCAATTGAGAAGTGGGCTTGGACGGGCCATCCTTTCAAACCGAGGACGTGCCTCAGAAAAGGATGACACCTGGCCAGCATAAACAGGAGTGTGCTTTTGTGTCCGTGTGCTTCTTGTGCTACCCTCTCTGGTCACTGCAAATGGGAGGCCAAGCTGTTGCAATTCATCTTCCTTCTGGGCACTTCACAACGGGTCTTGCAATCCATTCTGAAACACAAGCAACATTGAAGACATCCTAAAATATCCAAGCCAGCTATTTCATCCAATCAGAGTGTCCAAGGATCTACGAATAACCCAAAACACCCTCCTCCCCAGTCCAGCATAGTGGGCTTTGATGAGGAAATCAGCTGCCCGTTTTCAAGTCTGCCAGTTCATGCCTACAATTCTAGCCGCTGTTAAAGCACAAGAATGGCTCAACAGCTTGATTTAGGTCTGTCAAAACATCGATGGTTCCCCTTTCTGGTGCAA